TGCGTGAGGAGCTTCGTAAGATGTTGGAGGCAGGAATAATTACCCCTTCCATTTCGGCCTGGTCCTTTCCTATCGTTATCGCATCGAAGAAAGACGGAAAACCCAGGTTCTGTGTAGATTACCGCACCCTCAATCGCAAAATGAAAGCCGATCGTTGGCCCTTGCCAAAGATCGAGGAGATCTTCGATGATTTAGAGGGGAGCTCGGTCTTCACAACGCTTGACTTGTTCTCGGGGTATTGGCAAGTCCGGATGGCTGAGAACTGCAAAGAGAAGACGACTTTCGTCTGCCGTTTTGGGACGTTTCAATTCGAGGTGATGCCGTTCGGGTTAATGAACGCCCCCTCTACGTTCCAAAGGATGATGGACCAGCTTTTCCAAAGGCTTAGCTTCGTTAGAGTTTACTTAGACGACGTAGTCGTCTTCTCGAAGTCCGTTGAAGAGCACACTTCACACTTATGTGAAGTCTGCAAGGTGATTGCTACGAGCGGGCTGAAGCTTAAGATCTCAAAATGCAGCTTCGCACAGTCCCAAACGCGACTGCTTGGACACATAGTCACCGGAGATGGCGTCAAAGTGGACCCCCAAAAGGTCAGCGCCATTAAGAGGGAGAAGGAGCCGTCCAATGCGACAGGGCTTCGTAGCTTCCTTGGTCTGGCGGGATACTACCGCTGCTTCATTCCTAAGTTCGCCGAGATCTTTGCTCCGTTACATGAGGCCACGTCTACTAAACGGACTTTTAAGTGGACGGCGGAGATGCAGGAGTCATTTGAGAAGCTTAAGCTCAAGTTAACCTCCCCGCCAGTCTTGGCGTTTCCCGACTTCGAACAACCTTTTGTCGTGGAGACTGATGCATCCTCGGTCGCCGTCGGAGCTGTTATGGCCCAACGAAAAGAGGACAGGAAAGTCCACCCGATCCAGTACGCAAGTCGCACGATGACGTCAGCAGAGAGGAAGTATTCCGCCTGTGAGCGAGAGGCCCTGGCTGTGATCTTCGCTTTGAAGAAGTTCCGAGTTTACCTGCTTTCAACACAGAAGTTCACGCTAATAACAGACCACCAAGCCCTACAGTATGCCTTTAAGAAGAAAGACATTCACGGGAGGTTGGCAAGGTGGATGGACTTCCTAGCAGAATACGAATTCGAAATTAAGTACCGCCCGGGAGGAAAGAACGGTGCAGCTGACTTCCTGTCCCGCCTGAAGGCCAAGGGCGAGGATGGAGTCGACTCTGACGACGAGGGAGATCTTGTCTGCAGTGTTTCGGATCCTCTAGAGGCACAAATGGAGTGGGAACCCCATCTTATTGACATTTCAAGGCACCTCGGGGGTATTGAGATGAGGGAAGTGGATGTTCGTCGACGTCGGCTCAACCGCCGAAGCGCCAAACATTTCATGGCTTGTAATGGACAACTGTTCCGTAGGACCAACAATGGACTACGCGCTATCCCGCCTATAGGGGCTCGCAGAAGGATCATTAGAGCCTTTCACGACGAAATAGGCCATTGGGATCTGCAAACGACGAAGAGATTCGTCTTGGACCGATATTGGTGGCCTGCCGTCCACCGAGACGTGAACGACTACGTTCGGGGTTGTGACGGTTGTCAGAAAGCCACACCAATTCCGAAGTACAAGACCACCCTTCGATTTCCCATGACTTCGTTATTTGATACATACTCTATCGATTTTGCGGGACCATTGCCTCGTACGCCCTCTGGACGGAGGTACATCCTTATTGCCGTGGAGCACCTGACTGGCTGGCCAATTGCGAAGGCCACCGTCACCTCGACGGCAGAGGAGGTGCTGAAGTTCGTGAAAGAAGAGATAATCCACTGTTTTGGGTTACCACGTGTCGTTGTCTCGGACAACGCTACTTGTTTCACAGCGTCGGTCTTGAATACCTTCATGGCACGAAACGGGATTAAGTGGAAGACAGTGCTCGCCTATGCGCCTATGTCGAACGGACGGGCAGAGCGGATGGTCGGCACATTGAAGAGAGCAGTCCGTAAGATGATTCTCGGTGCCTCGCCTGCAATTGTTGAGTGGGACGATGCTCTACGTCAAGTCCTATATGGATACCGTCGCAGGAGGATGGCGGTGGGATTGTCCCCGTTCGAGCTGCTTTATGGGGTGTTGCCCAGGATGGCGCCTGGAGACCAAGAGCCTCTCTTCGGAGTCTCCGAGATCCGCCACCGGCAAATGGAACTCCTGCAAGCCAGAGCGATGCGGGCAACAAGAATAATCGGGCGCAGAGCTGCAACCACATTAACAGACGGTCGCGAAGCAACTTTCAATGTGGGCGACGAAGTGTTGGTCGCAAAAGGGGCTGCCCTCGGGCCCATGCAGAAATGGCCTATCGCCTTGTCGAAGTTCTATGGCCCATGCCGAGTTGCTCGTGCGCGCCATCCGCGGTACACTCTAGTGTCGCCGCATCAACGCTACTCGAGAAGGGAGATACATGCCAGAAGGCTGGTCCTCTACAGGAGGCAACCGTTGCACCTTCAGTGAGGCAAATGACTAGGGATTTTTACGCTTTGAATTGAAAGATAGTGAAATGCATATGAAGTGCTGATTACTTGCTACAAGTAGATAGAGAGTGGGTCATGGAGACAATGGGAATCACCAATGACCTCTAATGCTGAATGGAACTTCCCGAACCCCGAATCGCGGCTTTCTTGTGCGCTCTGCGGCTGCTTGCGCGTCCAATTCTGCTCCTTTTCTTCTTGGAAGGGGTGACGACGAGAACTTGCCGCAGTTCGGAGACGCCAACGAAGATCCCGTCGGCTCCAACGCATGCTTTGACCGCGCCGGCGCAGAGCCGAAGCGGAAACCCCTCCATACAATCAAGTACAATGGAATGTATGGTCGAGACGCAGATGCTGTGCATTATGTGGGGCAAACCTTCTAAAGTCGCGACATAAACACCCGGGTCGAGCCTCAAGAGGAGTCCGAGAGATGGACTACGAAGACCCGACCCGCGGAGAGCGACTTCATCTTGATTAAGGTGTTTTCCAGCGTCATGGAAATCTCGGATTCGACGCGACGGAGAGCCGGTCCTCTCAAAGAGGAGGCTGTTGCGGACTAAAAGATCCCAGTACTTGACGGCAAGGTTTGGGGACCCTAGGAGATGGAGCCCGTCTTGGAAACCTTGGTTACATCTGTTCGAGATGAGAGCTCGAACATTAAGTGGTCGCGGCTGGCGAAACGTGTAGCTTTCAGAGCGAGCTGCTTCCGCGGACACTTACCTCCCGTGCTCTTCGCCGCTGTCTGCTTGGTTCTCGCCATCGTATTACGCTATGAGGGGGGCCAAAGAGGGCACACGGGGACTGAAACCCCACCTGCGTGCCTCTCGATCTGGCGGGAACAGGAGGTCTAAGCTACGACGAGGACCACGGAGGCAACGCGGAAGAGCAGCGAGAGCTAAGCAGCGCAGGAACCAGGAGGCCGAAAGAGCTAAACAGAAGCTGGGGTGGAGCGAGAAAGGCGAACGGAGAGCGACGGCAGATACCACAGGAAGGAAAGGGGGGTTCGAACCCCAGGTCTGTGTTGATATAGGCTGGAGGGTGAAAAAAATCAAAATCAAAATCAAAATCAAAGGCAAAATTTGAGTGGCCGGGGCCCGTGGCCCCGCCTAAGTGGGGGGTTGTGTGACACGTGGTTGGGACCGGTGTAAGTAATTGGAAGTTTAAGTTAGTAATTGTAGACCGCGCGCAAAAAGAGTATAAATGCGGTGGTTTTCGGTCGTCCTGTACGGCCGAGGGGAGGGAGACATCACATCACAAAAAAACACACACGGGTAAGACACGGGACGACGTACCCCGTTTTCACCCTAACAAGTACTATGTACTGTACACGCGGAGGAGGGAATGGGCAGTCGGCGGCAGCGAGGCGTCTCGACGAGACGCGTGTCACTGGCGGCGCGCTGCAATGTGGATTAAAAAAAAGAAAAAAAAGGACGAAAATACCGAACGTGTCAACCGAGCACAAACAGTATGGCGCACGAAGGGTGCAAATCCAGATCATGCCCTACCAAAACGGCCCTCCACTCTCTGTATACAACTTGCACATACAAGTGCAGCGGCCCGTCCCCTCCTTCCACCCCCACCCCCACCCCACCCCAACGCCAGCCTACCTACCTACCTGTCCACCGCCGCGCTCACCGCCCATGCCGAAGAAACGCCGTCTCTTCGAGTTCAAAGGCTTCGACGCTTCGCGCTCCGCCCGCACCTCGGTAACCCCCGAACTCCCGGTCCCGCCTCTGCTCGCCATGCCCTTCTTCTCCGACGACGAGGGCTACGTCTACGACGACGACGACGTCGCGCGCCTCGAGGCGCGCAAGGAGTACACGGCCCGCCACCCGACGCACCGCCCCCACCACCACCGCCGCCGCCGCCACCCGACGCACCACCACCACCACCACCACCGCCACCGCCACCGCCACCACCCGCGCCGCCACGACGACGACCGCCGCGACGACCGCCTCTTCTCCGACGACGACGACGACCCGTCCGAGCCACCCGACCGCCACCCGCGCCGCCGCCACCGCCGCCGCCGCGACGAGCACGACTCGCCCCACGGGTACGAGCCGCGCCGCCGCTCGCGCCCCCGCCGCCGCGCCGCGGA